TTTCATCAGAAGAAATCAGCCCCTCCACACCTGACTTGATTTCTGTAACACAGGCTGGACTGCAGAAGACATGTCCTCAAACTCTTTTTGTAGTTTTCTAAGATGGTGTTTTCCTAACACTAGCTTTGGATCTAGTTTCATTTAATTTCCAGAATATTGCCCAAGAGATTATTATCAATAGGGTTAATTTTCTGTAAGCATTTAACTTTGTTCTTTCAATGAAATCTGCTGCTGGACCTCCCTGGTGGGGCAAAGGTTAAGTCTCAGCACTGTGAAGTGAAGTTATCTGCAGCCACTGCAGCATGAGTTCTATCTGGTCAGCCAGGCAGCTGACCCACATGGCACAGCAGACCTCTCCTGTCTGCTCCCCTAAACAGTGTATTTTAGTCAATCCACCTGTTCTGCTCCCCACTCTGCCTCTTGAATCCTCTTACTCACCATACAGCTGGTCTACACCTCAGCTCTTGTATGCATAATAAATAAAATAAATCTTAAAAAAAAAGAAATCTGCTGCTGCATATGGGGTTAGCTGAATCAGAGCGATCTATCTAAGAGTTATCAGGATTCAGAATCATTCACATCTACTTCTGCCAACACGGAGAACAGAATTTTCAATGGATGATTACCAGATGGTTATCTGAGAGATATTGGCTGTGTTTTAATCTTGATGGGTTAGAAGATGCTCCAGAAAGTGGAAACTGCCATAGGTCTACATTCCTTGTCTTGAAATGAACATCTAAATTGCTTGGGAGTATTAGCCCTGATGTAAATGAAGTATATAAAGTGTCACAAAGTATGTTATCAAAATTTTACCCCATTACTTTTCATTATTTCTTTGATTAAACTACTTGGATTATTAAATATTTACCTTTTAGGGAAAATTATGCAGATGATTTTCTACAGAGACTATAATAAGCATCATTGTTTTAATTGAAATAACTGCAAAAAATAAGCCGCTTCACTAGTTTACTCCTCTTTGGAGTAAAATGGAGTATGGAGATAGCTCAGTTCTGAGTACTATCAATTTTAACACTATCATGTAATTTTAAGAAACCATTCTTGAAGCCCAAATTAAGTGCTTCCTGGAAATAGGTTATAACAAGGTAGGTGGATTCCCTATGCAGGGAGCTTTAGCTTCCTTTTGACCTGAGAACTCTTTTGTACCTTAATTAAAGAGTAAAGCATGAATGCTAAGAACACAGTAAAGGGAAAAAGAATCAAATCAATTCAAAATAAGTGAAGAAGGGAAGTGTATAAATCACAATTTACATTGGGAAATTGATTCCTTTGCCCAATTGAAACTGAGCTCTCTGTCAGAGTGGAGGAACATCAAAGCACCTATGAACAATGAGAATAAAATAAAAACAGGGTTTTGAAATGGAAATTGAACTTTTAATGCTTTGCTTATGGTGTATAAGATGTTACTATGGGTTAGAAAGTCTCCCTTTTTGATTTTTCATGACAGAATTAATTAATAGTTTTATTAATCTTCATTGGTTTTCTGTGTATCTATCTATATATTTTTAATTTCTTACCATGTAATCTTCAAAGACCTTTAAGACTTTGGAGAGATAAATGAGTAGTTCTAAGATAATGTTATTTTTTGTTTTGTGATTTGGTTTGGCTATTTTACAGTAAAAAATGTCTAATTCTATGGGGATCTATAGTTCTATAGACTTTTCTCTAGACTGCCTGCTTTTTGCCAGTTTCTGGCCCTATTGTGTAGTCTGTGTGGTCCTGAAGGTTGGGTCTAATCTTGTTCAGGCTTAAGCTTTCTTTGTGATATGCAATTTATAAATAACTTGCATAAACTGGATTCCAATGAAAATTGGATACTTACATCCAATCATCTTTGTTGTTCAATTGCAGCTTAAGTATAAGAGAGTTCAAGGGGTTTTTCTTTCCTATTTGCAGAAACTTTCCAAACTTTAATTTTTTTAATTAAGTGATTATAATGGACTCTCATGATAAAACATGATTTTAGTATTGTATTGTCAAATAGAGTAGTGCACCATTGACTTCAGCACTTGAAAAAAAAATAGTTGCCATGTTCATTTTGGTGAAATGAGATCTTTCATGAGATGTGAGAGCAAAGATAAACAATCGTGTTTTAAAATTCATATTGCAACTTTGAACATACTTGATGTTCATCCACACAGAAAGTAAAAAATTCTAGTCACCAGTTGAGAAGTCTTTCAGTCAAAAAAAAAGTAATATGCATACTATGTTTTGTAATTTGCAAACTATTTTCAAATCAGTGCATCTAGGTGCAAGTGTATAGTATATGGCAGAAGAAATTTTCAAGTAAATTGACATTTGAAAATGTATTATAGATGAAGAATAATGTATTCTTCTGTTAATCCAGGCAGGCATGTGTTATTTTCCTTAGTTTTATTATTTTCATTGTAATGATTTCAATTGGTCAACAGCAATCTTGCGTGATTCTGCATATTGTTCTGTCTATAAAATTTCTATTTTCCTTCAAATTTATTCTTACTATTTGTGTCCAGTGAGACTGACTGAATGTATAATCAAAGAGTTCCCTTACTCACTAGTTTCCTGTTTGGTTAAGCAAATGAAGGGTTTCAGCAAGAGATCAGGGGGAGGGAGCAAAGTGAAGTCCTCTGCTTCCTCTCTGTGACTTTGCTGTTGGGCTATAGGTAGCAATTCCTGACACAAAACCTTCCCCTCACAGAGCTCCTCCATTTCCATTATTGTGATCTCTTCTCTCTGCTTGTGCCCTACATATGATAAGAATATCCAGTGTTACTAGACGCAGCAGTAGCTTTCATGTTTTTAATACAGCCTCACCACATCTTTGTAAATGGTTCCTTTTTACACTGTCCAAAAATTATACGATTTGTATGTGTTGCACATTTCCTCTCATACTGTGCAGAAAGTGTTAGAATAAGTTTGAGTCTCTCTTCATTTCAATCTCTATGGACTGGACAGTTCTTTGACACTGTCAAAAAGTCTCTTTTGAAATTCCTTCTTTCGGCTCCATCAACACACCCAATTTGGCATTGATAAACTCTCCTCGAATTTCTAGTTTAATGAATATTGATTGGACTTGAGCTTTTCTTAATAAATTAAGTCTAGCTCAAATGCACCCTCTTTCATAAACTCCTGCTCACCAATCTCCTTCCCTGTACTCCTAGTGAAATTGATTGTTTCCCTTGGTGTCATCTTAACTCTTTGTTAAAAACAACTCTTTTTTTTTTTAATTCTCAGAGCTGACTAGGAAGTAGTCTTTTTTTTAATTTATTTAAGATTTATTTATTTATGCATAAAAGACCTGGGGTACAGGCCAGAGATGCAGGGGGTGGTGGTGAGAGGATTCATCAGAGAGAAAGCCGGGAGCAGAACAGGCAGATGGACTGAAATACACTGCTGAGGGAAGCAGTGTGAGAGACTGGAGAGGTCTGCTTTCACCCTGTGGGTTTCTCTCTGGCTGGCTGGGGATCGAACTCATGCTGCAGAGGCTGTAGATTGCTTCACAGTGTGGTGCTTAACCCCTTGTACCACCAGGGAGGCCCTAAAAACAACTCTTGACTAGGTATTAGAGCTATATCTTTACACATAGGTTTCTCAAAAGCAAGATGTTCGACATGTACTGAATATGAGACAAAGGATTGTCCTAGATGTTTGGAGATGATGATATGAAATGAAAAGTAAAGGAATAATTTGGAGATTTATAGTTCCTACCATGTTGGTCTAAAAAGAATGCTATTAGTCCCATAACTTGAATTATTTTGTAGTAATTTTCTCCAAACACAAGTGTAATCACATTACTATAATACTTGTTTGGCTGCTATTCCTTACATCCAGCAGAGAAAACTCACAAATAAGCTTTAATAATGACTCTTATTTTAAAAATACATTTTGCATTCCTGAGCATCATATGGAAATACTCAAAGAAAAGGACTCTAGACAACTGAAGTTCAGTTTCATTCCACCAATATTACCATTACTAATGCCTCATTCCATAGGGCTGCCCTGCATTCTCCCCACTTCCTGTTTCTCTCAAATTGAACACATTTCTTTATTTTTTTCTTTAAATCTTTTTCTTTAATATCATTTCTGTGTACGAGAGTTACGGTGTTCCTATCCAGATCCAGCCCAAATGACAAGTATCCCACCATATCTTCCAACTTTAATGAATGGCAATCCATTATTACTAGAGTTTTCCTTTACAAGTGTATTTGCAAGCTTGTACTCTTTCCAATTAGAGTCTAACTTCCTTAGGTGAAGGGATTAAAATTATTCATACTTGTAGAGTGATGATGTCTGTTAGACAAGCTCCTTTACACAAATATTTTAAGCTCAGCAAATATTTCTAAAGTGAAATGACTTACTAGTGCTATAGTTAAACTTAGGGTGATTTTTCCTCAATGGTAGGAGTAAGTCAGCTCTGCAACATAAGGGGTAAATATAAAGTTATGTACATTTGCAAATTTTAAATCTTATTATATTCAAATTAAAAACTGCATTATTATTGTAGTTTCTGCCTCTGACAGAAGATACTGGTTGCCATTTACTATCTTGCCAAGTAGTATTATCACCGAACCTGAAAAAAGACAAATTATACAGGGATATCCTTTTAACTCCTTTTGAATTTTTCTTTGACTTCAAAAATGAGGCTTATAAAAATTATTGGCCTGCTTTAAAAAATAATTTTGTGTTTAATATTTAGCAAAAACTAAAGAAATATACTTGAATAAGATGCAAATATCCACAAGCCATAAAGTAAAGGATTAGCTTTGGCCCAATTATTAAATTTTAAAAGTATTAAAGGGGCTTTTTTTTTTTAAAACATCTAAGGATGTTCTTCTTTTTTTTTTTTTCAAAAATAAATCTCCAAAGCTACCTATGGATTTATTGAAATATTTATGATAAAACGAAATCCAGAAGCTTTTTGTTGGTGGCATCAGAAAGAGGTTGAGTGATAGACATGATCTGATTCTTAGGGTGAATTATTAAAAATATATTCTTCTTTACAGATCAAGAATTGAAAGATCAAGCAGCACAGTTCAAAAGTTGAAAGAGATTAGATAAAAGATGAGTTGTGCAGAAGAACCCAAGGAAGAGATAAAACAACTGGCAAGGTGGTCACTGAAATTCTCTGCACCATATATGTATGAGAGTGCTGACATTTTAAAATATAGACCATTTCTGTATGTTATTAGTGCAAATATTAGATTTATAATCACCCTGTATAAATAAAACAACCAATCAATACTACAACTTTAACTAACAAAATATTTACACATTTGAGCATTTATCATAAGTCACAAATATTATTTCATTTAATCCACTTAAGATTCTGGAGAAGATACTATTATTGATTTTATTTCATAGGAGAGAAAATAGGGAGAGATTTTGAAATTTATCTGGTCACCATCAATATCTGCTAGAGTGTGGCTTCCTCCTGTTGAGTAAAGCTCTTCCTCATTCAGTGAGTTCTGGGTCTGAAAACTGACAAATCTGGAAACCAGGCAGGAGATAGTGATTTTTTATTATGGCAATTTTCTCAACCTAATGGTCATACAAAGTGATTTTTTTTCATTATTTTGATCGTGAATACCCTTGTTGACTGCACATTTTCATTCGCTTTCATATACCATATTCTATAAACCATTTTCACAGCTTCATATGAGTAAGCACTTTTCCCTACCCATTGCCACTCCAGCTTGCTCTTCATTAAGGTTACTATAGTAATCTTTCTCCTTCCTCGTGTCTACTATTATTATTTTGAATCATCTTATCCCTATTATCATCATGAAGTCCATTTTGTAATAACATTTCCTCTAAGTCCAGGTCTAGAGAGGACAACTACCACTGAGATTCTTACCATGTTCTTTAACGATTTTAATAAATAGAATATCCTCTGGGATCCCTTGTGGAATACAGTTAGCTGGCTTTCCAGCTTTTTGTGTATAAATCTCCTATAGTAATCATGTCTCTGAGCCTTTGACCAATTCTTCCATCATTTTAATGCTAATTCCTGCACAACATCCATTCCAGCAGGGTTTTTCACCATTTCCCAGGTTTATCACAAATATATGAATTTCTGTATCAAGAGAAATACATATTTCCATATTGATAAACTCTCTCTTAGCTAATTTTATTTTATTTTATTTTTTTCAAAGATTTATTTATTTATTTATACAAGCACTGGGTACAGTCAAAGCACGGGAGGGTGAGAGAATTCACCAGAGCCAGAGCGGGGAGCAGAGCAGGCAGAAGGACCGAAGTACACTGCTGAGGGGAGCAGCGGGCGGCAGGAGAAGTCTGCGCGCCATGTGGGACCCTCCTCTGGTGGCCGGGGAGCAGCCGGGGATTGAACAGGCGCTGCAGAGGCTGCAGGCAGCTTCGCAACCAGCGCTCAACTGCTGTGCCACTTGGGAGGCCCATTAGCTAATTTTATATTCCACCATGTCCTCTCCAGTCTCAGAATCTTCCTGATTGAAAACCACATATACTCCCTGTGTTCTACAGGTAAATCTATGCTAAGTTTTGGAGTCTCTTTGCACTATAGTCTCCATCCTCCCTCAGTAGGTACATCATGTTTCCAGCTGAGTTACATCATATCTTGACATTATTTATTAGTTTGGTGATCAGGAAGGGAGATGAGTAAATCCTGATGGATATGCACATTGTCTTACAAGAAAAGGTCTTTGACATCTCTTCAAGTGATGGTTAGTGATAACTCATTTTAAGAGGAAAAAATAGGTCATTTCTGGAGTCCCAGATGGTTCTGTAAAATCTGAGGATTAAAAATTTTGAGCACATTGATCCAGATGTTCCAGTCTCCAAATGTCAAGTTCCACTCCTCCTTAATCAGGGTCCTGACTGGCATTACAGATTTGCTGGAGTTGAAATTCAACATTCTCCAGAGCCCAAATACTATTATAATTAAAATGTGGACATAATCCTCAGCTTTTTCACTCCTCCATCTACCAGTGATGAGATTCTTTTTATGAACTACTTATTGCAATGCCTGTAGGGTGGGGAGGAGAGGACTTAGCAATAAGCCATCAGGAGTAAGTACATCTGGTAATTAGCAGAAGCAGTGTCTGGATTCAGAAGGTGCCAACATGAGTGATTAATCACAGCATCTACCACAAAGGAAGACTTCTTCCTTTTTTTAAAAAATATAGTGGCTATTTCAGCATTTTAGCATTCATCATATGTCAACATTGAAATTATAAACAGTAAAAGGAAAATTATATAATGCAGTGATATTAAGGATGGAATTAAATGGGATCCAGGTTTAAGCAATGATCTCAGCCTTAGTTTGGAGAAAGGACATGTAATGTTTTGAAACTAGAGAGAATAAGCAATGATGAGTACAGATGGAGGAAGATTTTTTTATGTTTATTAACATGCAATAGTGTCTCTTACCTGTAGATGAAGTAAAAGTCCATATCGCCTTTTAAAAATGAAAGACCCACTGGCCATTGATGATTTTAGGCAGCCAGAAAAGATCCGGAAAACTTATTAACTGAAAAAATTTTTCATTGTGTCTCTCAGCTGACAGAGTAGCGTAGAAAAAAAAAATGCATACATGTGCTAATTCAGTTTTGAAATTTTCCATATGGGGAATTTGTCAGTGTTATAAACTGAATTTATTTGTTATAAACTGTTTTATTTGAAAACATATCATGATACAAATGGATTGATTCATAATAGAAAGTCACAATTACATGTTAGAATATCGGCACTAGGAAGAGTCAAACATGTAACCTGGGAATAGAAGTCATTTTTGAAAAGTGATTTGGGTGCATGGTGAATTAGATAAAAAGATCTAAGATGACTTTTGGAGTAAATGGCTGAGGAGGAATACAGGTAAAGTCATTTCAGTTAAGGAAGTTAGGAGAACCTTTGCCACAGAGTCAAATCAATAGCATTTTCTTTCTTCCTCATAATTGGTCTCTCAGCAGTACTCAATGCTATTAATATATTTTTCTTGAAAAAACTCTTGGTTTCTGTGTCATCATATACAACTGGTATCTCTTTTACTTCTCCTTCCTCTTTTCACTGTTAGATCTTAAATTCATAAGAAACTTATGACATTCATAAGCCTTTGCCATTCAGTCTTCTTCCTTCATTCTACTGTCTTCCAGGGTGATCTCATCTACACATATGGATTCAAGTACATCTATATGCTGATGATTGTCAAATTTATTTTCTCTTCCAGTGATTTCCTATGAACTCCAGACTCATACATCTAATTAGGTCATCCACAACTACACATGGATGTTTTATCTTCCTTCAACATTTTTAAAACTGAACTCATGATATTCTCCAAGAACCTGGTCCACTTCCAGACACATCTATCTAATTAGGTCAACCATATTGACTCTTGGATGTTTTATCTTCATCTTCAATATGTTCAAAACTGAATTCATGTTCTTCTCCATAGATTGGTCCTCTTCTAGAATTTTTCCTTTCTCATCAAACGGTACTACCATTCAATAAGTTGCACAACCTGGACACCAAAATCTATTCTTGATTCCATTCTTTGAGATTTCTATGTATATTCAATTATATATTTTTATGAATTATACCATATAATCTCTTATTAGAAGTGTCCACATCTATCCATATCCTTTGTCACCAGTCCCTTATAGACCACTTTCATGAAAAACTGCAATAACCTCCTGACTGATAACCCCATTTTTCTTATTTAGTTTCAGTCTGATTCAAATTTGGTCGTTTCACCTCTGCTTGGACCCTTTGAATGACTTCCCATTACTCTTAAAAGGCAAACTGGTATCTGATCTCTAACTTTCTGTCATCACTTTACACTTTTTATTATTTTGGTATCTCTGAACCAGTCTTTATTCTATGTTCTCCCAGCTAGTCTTTGTTACCATTTCCCATCCAATTTTAGGTACATTCCACATGCTTTTATTCTGTCTAGAGTTCACTTAGTTAATTTTAACAAAAACATCAACTACAGCTGAGCTATCACTTTAAGTGAACCTTCCTTGTTATCACAGAATACATCGTATCCCCAGTTAAACACATAATTTTTAACTAACTTTCTCTGTTCAAAACACCTTTTAAAATTTTAATTTAGTGATTAGTAATTGTGTCTACCTGTTAGATTCCGAGTGTCATGAAAATAGGAACATAAGTGTTTTTTTCTTTTTTCTGTATCCTCAGTGTCTTATACAATACTTTATATTTAATAGGTGTTCAACAAATGCAGGCTGAACAAATGAATGAATAATCTATAAAGTGCAAAAAAGTGATTTGAGTCAAAGATATGGGTAGCTAACAGCAATTATATAGTGGTTCTGGTGCTTTTTTTCCTGCCTTGATATTGATAGATTTCAGGATATTCACATCAGCGGTAGTGACTAACTGCATCTGTACATTTCAAATAGAAATGCAGCATATCAAAGTTACTTTTCCCAATTCTTCTTTTCTTCTCATATCCCTACCCTTTGCCTTGTGACTTTGAAGTTCTCCTGATGAGAGTGTATTTCCTTACCCATTGACTTGGGACTCAGCATGTGAGTTGATTTGACCAAAGGGGTTTTAGTTCATGTGTTGAAAACAGAGGTGTAAAATGGTTCGCTATACTGGGCTTACCCTTGTGTAGTTCTGCCATCACTATAAGCACAAACCCAAAGCAGCTTGCTGGAGTTAGGAATATGAGATACACATGGTGTAAACCAGCCACAATCAACCCAAAATGCTACAGCCTGAAGGAAAATTAACCTGACAACTCAGTCTGAGAATATGAGACTAACTGTCCTAAGCCATTGAATATTAGTGTAGTGGTTTGTTGTTTAATCTTATTATAGCAATAACTAACTGTTAAAATGAGCATATAAAAATTTTGGTACAGTGAATGTCAGGGAAGATTAATTTGCAAAGGCATCCTAGTGCTTTGACATACACTCACACTTCTGTTAGGTGTTATGCAACCATCACCCCTTCCCCGACAACTAGCCTACCAGTGCCCTAGGCTCGAAGACAGACATAATTTTAATTGAAGTTGTGGAGTGAATGTGATTATTCAAAAAGAGCAAGAAAAGATGCAGAAAGTGGATTTCAGGTTATACGAAAATTTCAGTGTAGTCAGAAACTTTTCAAGAAAGGTGAAGAAGGATCTTGATCAGAGAGTAGAAGCAAATCCAAGACTGTGAGTCTTCAATGAAAATAGTCAAAAGTAAACAAGTGCTAAACAAACTAAATGATCAGAGTTATGCA